TTTTGAATTTGAAAATGAATTAGTGTTTGATATATTTGAGATATAAGATTCCGGAATGTTGCATTACATGTATCAATGAAAACGGCCCACCAATCGGCCCAAAGTAAATTAACCAAACGGAGCTCAAACTATGCGGGTGGTGGAGAGCGGCAAAGAAGATGAAATCCAGTGGGTTCCTCACTTCCATCCTGCACCCCGTTTTATCCCTCCGATCAAAGCCAGTTAGGCTCGCATTCTGCTCCACCGCCCTGCCGAAACCCCAGGTTCCAATCTACCTCCGCCCTCCGGCATTCCGCGCCCCACTCTCGGAGCTGAAAAAATGGCACAATTGGGCCGAGGACAGGGCCTCCGCAGTGGGTTCCACCTTCTCGGACCTGGACAACGGCCCGGACTCCACGCTCCTCCACCGGGAGCTCAAGTGGCTCGTCGAGGACGCGCTCGAACAACCCGCCGCTCTGCTTTCGCCCCGGAGTTCTGGCAGAATTTACGGGGATGACTCTCCGGTGCCGATAAGGGTGTGTCTGGACGAACTTTACAAACTTTGGACGCAGAGGATCGAAAAAAGGAGGCCGTTTCAGTACGTGGTGGGTTGCGAGCACTGGAGGGATTTGATTTTGAGCGTTGAGGAAGGGGTTTTGATTCCACGGCCCGAGACCGAGACCATTGTGAATTTGGTCGAGGACGCTGTTAAAAGCAATGGGGAATTGAAAAACGGTGTGTGGGCCGATTTGGGAACGGGAAGTGGGGCGCTTGCCATTGGGATTGCCCGGGTTTTGGGCCCGGCTGGCGGCAAAGTGGTGGGTGTTGATTTGAGCTCGGTAGCTGTTGCCGTTGCATCGTATAATGTTGAGAGGCATAATTTGCAGGTTAGCTCACTGTTTGGTGTTTAGTTAAAATTATGCTCTATTGTATTTTTTGTATGAGTAGTTTGTGTTCATTTTGATTCTTATGGGGAAAGACTCTTTAGTTGTTTTGTTAAAATTTTTAAAGATTTTAGACTAAAGATTTTTGCAGAGAATTGTGGCGAAATGCTGCCTTTTTACTTTCTATTTATTTGGTTCCAATATCAGTCCTTGTTTTGGTTGTGATCCACAAGGTATATCTGCAAAATTCCCATTAGAAAATGTCCAATAATGTTTTGAAAATTTCTTGCTTTCTTGCTCAAGTTTGAATGTTTGATGACATGGTGATAGTAAAGTAATGACTATGACAAACCCGGGAATATATGTATTTGCAGGATAGGATTTCCGTGAGGCTTGGGTCGTGGTTTGATCCTCTGAAGGATGTTGTAGGGGAACTCAGTGGACTGGTGAGCAATCCACCGTATATCCCGAGTGAAGATATTGAGGGGCTACAAGCTGAGGTTTCTAGACACGAACCTAGAGTCGCGCTGGATGGGGGAGCAAATGGGATGAATCATCTAATCCAACTATGGAATGGAGCTGCTTTGGTGTTAAAATCAGGTGGATTTTTCGCGTTTGAGGTAAAAAATCGATATCCTTTCTTGATGCAGTGGAGATTCTTTGAAGAATGAGAGCATGAGGCTTATGATGCTTAGCCCCCGGATATATATTATTACTTGCTGAAATAATTCAAAAATGTTGGTCCTATGAGAAACGTCGGATATACTATATATTTGAATAGACACGAATTAATTCCTACGCGCAGCGGATTTAAGAGTAGGATTAATCGTACCTTCAATTTATGCCAAATTTGAGATAATTACAAGGTCTGTAGACCGGGGGAACTAGCCTGGTGACTTGAAAGTCTTCAGTTGTTGCTTCAGCTCGGTCGAGCGTTGTGTAGGCCACGATCTCCCGAACTCGTGTAGCCAGCGTCTCCTTCTCTCTTGCTCTCTCAATGTCATGTTTCTCTGTTATGAGGGATGTGTGTTTTTTGAGTTCTTGAACAAGAGAAAGAGACCACCACATAGTGTTTATAGACTAGAAGGTTAGAGTTAGGTCTTCTGATAGGAAAAGGAATATTTGAATTATTGTATACTGAACTCCTCCATAGCACATCAATAATAAATCAGTCCACTAAAAATCTAATATTGAACTACCTCTCCCCATGTTTAAGATATTGTATGTCTGTTAATTAATTTAATTACTACAATTTAATTAAGTAACATCTTGGTTTTCTAAAACTAGTACTACTTAAATCTTATTATTATGCTGGAACTTAATCCAAGATGGGTTTAAGAATAATAATTTTTTAAGCTCATTCGGGGACGTCATCATCACCCTGGCTGCTAGCTTACAGGGACGCAGTACTGCTCCCAAACTCACCAAGCCTGTTGACTTAAAAATAAGTCTCACCATTTGATGAATTAAAGGAATTAATATTGAGTACATGTGCCTGTTATTATCATCCGGTTTTGGAGTACGAGTAATATCACGAAGTCTAGTTTATTTACTTGGTAAATATAAAATAACTTCTTCTCCGTGTTCCAGTTCAATATACACGAAGTATACTAGTGTAATTTATTAGTTAAGATAAACTAACTCAAATTACACTATAATCATACCGATAGGTTTCGCAATTTCTATGTCGGTTATGAACCTTATTTTCATTGCACAAGAAACCGAAAATATAATTTTATGTGCGACGATGTCACATTAAAATTAAAACAAAGCTTCTAGTATACCAACCAACAAAATATCCATTAGATTAAAGATACATAATGATAATTGCCACTAATAAAGAGGTGTGAGAGTTCTTTGCTTTTGTTCTTCTATGCTAATAACTTCCTTTTAGATGATACGTTTTAATTCCTTGTTCAGTAGATACATTGTTCTCCTCTTGTACACCAGAATGCCTAATTAACCCTATTTACAAGAATGATAATGATAATCGGAGTTTTGATGTATACTAGACTTAGGAGGACATGCTTTTTATACGTATACTTGAAGAAACCCAGGCCTTATACGAAAAGGCAAACCCTGTATTTAGTTGCTTTTTCTCCCCGTCCTACTTAATGCCTGCCCTCGATTTTTATATGGCTGTGAAAATATACAATAATTCATTCTCTACGAGAAATATGCAACTGGAAAGGAAACCCTCACTGTTGACTTGTTTGTTGTTTCACTTCCTCTCAAAGTTTTGTTCCAAAAAATAGTAAAAAATTAGAAGTGTTGAGAATTTGTATCTTGGATCTTCGTGCTTTCGCCTTAAATGGGATTATGACACTCGTTTTCCGTTGCTTTCATCAACTTTGCTGCAGACAAATGGTGAGATGCAGAGCAAATTTCTGGTGGATCATATGCACTCAGCAGTTGAAGGAAGCTTCCGTAACGTAAGTATTGTGTCTGATTTTGCCGGAATCCAAAGATTTGTGACTGGATACAGAGCCTGAGAAGGATTCATATATTTGTTGAGCGTAAAAATTGTATTCGATTGAATGTGGAAGGTTCTGGTTTTGTTTGGTTTGGCTTGATGTTTGGTCTCTTGTAGGGAATATACAGTTTTTGTCTTTACACATTAGGCAACACTGAACAGAAAAAGGGGATTTGCTGAACTTGGATTTGATGAAATAAATACAAGATTCACAAATTATGGATATCTTGGACATGATGATTATCAACTAACATATATGAATTTTACGATCTGTTCGAATTGAAAATTTCGATATTTCTCCATTCAATTAAATCAACATCTAAGAATCCAACGTTTGCACAACATATATAACAAAATTGTTGAGCGTAACAGCTGCGTTAATAAAGCATACACGCCTGCTCGCCAGGAAGGAAAATGATTAACAAAACATCTCCAATGGATTAGTTATCCACCACCTTCAGAGAAGAAACAAATGGCAGAAAGACGACCTTCTGTAAATTTTTATTGCATCTGCCCAGCTGCTGCTTACAACTTACATCACCAAATTAAATGTACACTAACATCACCATCAGCTTCGCTGAATTCCCCTCAACTCACTTCCAATTCTAAACATCAAGGAGACATGCAGAAACTGATCTTACAATAACATCACAAGTTTTTCCAGCGTTATTTACAAACACGGACCGTGTAAAGACATGTAGTCTTTTCGTTTTCTTTTTTCTTCCACAACATCAATTCCACTTTTCACGAGGCAATGGGTGCGCGTTGTGGCAGAAAATGTCCGATTGGTGCCAATAAATAAAATACATTAGCCGCAAAATTTTTTGTCTTCTAAGATGCCCTCCGCCACTGCTTTTTCCCTTTCTTCTGGGGCAGTTTGAAGGGACTCCAACTTTTCCTGCGTTTGGAGGACTCACTGAAAAGGCCAGAAGCAAGGGCTTGCTGGAGCCACATCTCGAACTCATCCTCTTCGTCCATCATCTCGGCATCAAGATCCCATGGGTACCGGCTAGAGTTGGATCTTTGGCTTGATTTATCAAGCCCGACCATGTTTACGTGGAAACTGGGTCGATGGGTGTTGGGCCTGCAAGCCATGCCCTAATATCAACATTAAAATAGGATTCGGTCAGACTTCAGCGTTAACGGCACTGTAGAGGTAGAAACTTACTGTTTTCTGTGTAATGAGTTGGTAATCTATGCCCTTGGTTGGTATTTACGGAGTGTATAATAATAATAATAATAATAATAATAATAATAATAATAATAATCCCTATATATAATTCCCGAATGTGCTGAGCCTACGTGGTTGCTTCTGGTG